GGGAGAGGGAGGGGGTGGAGTGGGTGGTAAGGGAGGGGGTGGGGGCAGGGGGGAGAAATGACCCAAGCCTTGTATGCACATATGAATACTAAAACAATAAGAAAAAAGAAAAAATTCCATGCATCAAGAGTCAAATATCATATAAACTTCACCATACAATACTTCCCTTATCTTCTCTATCAACATACTGTTTCATTGCATTTCTACAGCATACAGAAACCCATTATGTATTTCTTCCCCACTTATCACTGGCTCCCAACAGCATGACAGAGCAGCATATCCTTACCTTGGTAATGGTGAGCACAATGTCAGTGGATGTTACCAGAGGGTGGGGTTTTCCCACCAGCCTGTAGCCAATCACCTGAGGGAGCACCATACTGATTGGCTGACCCAGCATGACAGCTTCTGCTTCAATACCACCCACACCTGCAGGGAAGGGCATGCCAAAATAATGCTTTAATATTCCTCACTATATCCTCAGCTATAAAGCCAATAAACCCAGTTATAATGCTTAACTGATTCACAGTTGTTTCTATAAGAAACAGTTGTTTTTTTCTCTACTTCCCCATGTAGAACTTTTAACAAGTGTTTCTCAAAGTGCCCCCCACCCCAAATACCTACATCAATGACCCCTCAGTGCCACACCCAATGGAAAAATCTCCATTGTTATACATTTCAGATTATTTTCACTTATGCAAAATGTTCCTAACCTCTTATTCTAGTTTATTTTTCCAAACATAAATTGAGAGCCTGTAGATGTGAGACACTTTTCTAGGCACTGGAAATACAGTAGTGGAAAAAAAAAAAAAGACAAAAATACCACTCCTACACTTATGGTTATGCAAATTCATGCCACTGAGTTGAAATGGGGACAAAGTGTCTTAGTTTGAATGCTCTAGAACAGCTCATACAGAACAGGAATCTGGGAGATACTTACCCCAACCAAGAACACCCAGACCATCAATCATGGTAGTGTGTGAATCCGTGCCCACGAGGCTATCTGGGTAATAATATCCATCCTGATCAAATACCACTCTTGCCAAATACTCCAAATTCACCTGGTGGATGATTCCTGAGCCAGGTGGAATAATCCTCATGTTGTGAAAGGCCTGTGAACCCCACTAAGATTGAACAATGGAGAGAGTACTATGAGTGCCTGATGTCCTTCTACTCAGCCTATCTTCTACACATCTGTCCCTCATATCCTATAATTACAGGAAACCAAACAGAAATCCAGCTTTGCTATACCTTTAAAAATTCAAATCGTTCTCTATTTCTTTCAAATTCCAGGTCTTGATTCTTCTGTAAACTGTCCGGCCTGTCAGAGAGAAAAACTAAATGTATAAATGTCAAGGTTAAAATGTTGCTGGTCAAATTTATTGTTAACGAGTAAACAAAATTGCAACTGCACCTGCAAGCTTGTTGGATGGCATTCACGATTACAATCTGGAAAAGCTTAAGAGGTAAATTCCAAAATTCTTATAATATCCTCAAGCATAGTGGAAAGACAATATGAGCTGAATTCAAGTCAAAATTTATCATAAAGTCTTACAGGAACAAACTCAAGACATTTATATGATAATAGCAGCTTAGACCTTTAAGGAACTCTTGTTTCTGTACCCTCTTCCTGTCCATGACCTGCCACTTCTCTGAGCTGAGCCCTGTATGGGCTGGCATTTTCACCTGTTCATGTTGGAAGATAGTGAACCAGCTATGCCAGAGCCTTAGTCACTTTTGAATCACAGTCTCCTATCTCTCAAACATGGGTTTGTGTGGAAGACGATGCTACCCAAGAACATCTGTAAACCCCAAATTATGCACTGAGGTTTACTCAGGTTCATTCAGGTAGAAAAAGTCTTCGTTATGACTCTGCAGGTTTAGCACAGAGAAGGCACTCATAATTTGTATATCATGGGTTGAGGAAAGATAGGAAAATTAATAGTTACATCCCTAGCCAGACCTCACTAATTATATAATTGCTAACATTTACTGACATTACTAGGAACCAGCCACTATTCTGAATATTTAAGATTAATTTTCTCATTTAGTCTCCATAATAATGCTTTGAGTTAGATGCAACTAATACATACATTTTTCAAATGAGAAAAATGAGACACAGAGAAGTTAAGAGACTTACTGAGCTGAGCACTATATAGCTAGTAAATGATGAAAGTGGAATTCCAGACAGACGGTCTAACTCAGAGTTTATCTTTTTTTTTTTTTTTGCAGTACGGGAGTTTGAACTCAGGGCCTTGTACTTGGTAGGCAGGTACTTTACCACTTGAGCCACTCTGCCAGCCTAAGTTTATACTCTTAGTCCCTATACTGTACTGTCTCCTTGCAGGAGCAATTATAGTGGCTGTGGCTGTAATGTCTATAATAGTAATAACAACAAGAATAACAAGAATAACAGCAGGTGCTGAAGTGTGACATTTTGTTCAGGCTCACCATGCTTTACACACAGGACCTCATTCTGCCATCACAACAACCCTCATGTAGATACTTCTGTTATCCTCAATCCACAGAAGCAGCAGCTGACACAGAAAAGCTAGGTAACTTGTCCAAGGTCAGATAATAGGTAAGTTACAGAGCTGTCACCTGAACCTAGGTCTGATTGGCCCTGGGGTCTCTACTTTAACTATTTCTCGCCCACCTCTTCCTTTCATTCACTAGTTATCTACTGAGAGACTATCACGTGGCATGCTGGGAAAGCAATGGTGCACATTCACTGCCCATTTGGAGTTCAGGCCTTGCTGAGAGAAAGAGAAGCAAGAGAAGGGTGTGATTATGGATGATGCCTGACACTGCAGGTTAAGGGCACAATGGGAACACTCAGAAAGGGCTATGAACTTGGACCCCAAAGCTTCCAGAAGGAAATGATGTCAATGCAGGCTGAAAGATGCCAGGAGTCAGCTAGTGAGGAAATGGGCAGGCACTTCTTGGGAAGAAAATGACTGCAGCATGTGTAAGTGTCAGTTGTTTAATGGGGTCAATTCCTGAGACATATTAGTGTAGGGGTCTATAAGCCATAGTCTGCAGTCTGTATCAGCACAATGCCTGTGTATGCTTGGTCCTCAAAGAATGACTTTTAAAGGCGAGGGAGTTGGCAAGGGGCAATACGTGGACAAGACAGCATGGGGCCAACAAAGCCAAAAATGTTTGCTATTGGCCTTTGCAGAAAAAGTTTAATGATCCCTGACTGAGAGAATGAATTTCTGTGAGTTATGTGTACACATTAGAGAAAAGCAAAGAGAAGACACCAGAGAAAGGAGAGAGCCTGGTAGGGGAGAAAAAGGCAATCTAACAGTACAGACACCTGGGTCAGCACACCCCCTAGACATGATGCAGCCACTCTCCAAGGTACACATTTCCATCTTCTTCTCACTAGCACCCTGAGGGCTCCGTCTCTCTGTTTTCCACCTGCCTCTTCAGGTCCAGGCCCACTTGGCAGCATGTCCTGGGCATCTGCATCAGGATTACATTGGGGGTTGAACCCCAATGCTTGGCTTTTTCTCCTAAATCTCTGCCCACACCACATTTAATGACCCCCCCTTCCCACTTTTCACCTGTAACTATCAAAGTATTTATTTTAGTTTTCAGCCAGTCAACTAAACCTACCTTTTATACCATCACTAGAATTGATTTTCTAAAATGTAGTTCATGCACCAGTTTGTTATCTACCAATGGGCTTCCATTTTCAAATAAAGTGTAAATTCCTTGTTTTGAAAAACAAAGTCCTTGGGCTGAGGGCATGGCTCAACTGGTAGAGCGCCTGTCTGGTGAGTGTAAGGCCCTGAGTTCAAACTCTAGCACCACCAAAAAAAAAAAAACCACAAACAAACCCAAGCTCTAGGCCAAGCATGGTGAAACACACCTACAATACAGCTACTTGAGAGGTGTAGAGAGGAGGATCACCGTCCAAGTCCAGACCCTATCTGAAAAATAAAGCAAAAAGGTCTGGCAGCATGGCTCAAGTGGTATAGTGTTTACCTAGCAAGCACAAGGCCCTGAGTTCAATCTCCAGTACCATCACCACCAACAACCACCCCCCACCAAAGTCCTGTACCCTGACCTAAATCTTCCTTTACCAGCCCTCTTCTCTCCTCCAGCCCGGCTCTCAGCTTCCGCTACACAGTAGCTATCACACCTTGCCAAACCCCACTTTACTCATGACTTCGCACTCTGTTCTCGCTGACACAATGCATTTTCCAGCTCTCCTCACTCAACGTGCTTCAGGATCCAGATCAAGTGACACTCTGGAGAATCCTCTGACTCCCAAGTCAGGATGCTTTGCTGCCTTCTCTGTGGTGATTACACATATCAACTACATTAAAGTTACATATTCATTAATCTCCCTTCTAAATTAACCAGTTTCTTGAATGAATACTAGTACACAGTGGGTTCATTACATTGACTTAATTAACAAATGAAAGAAAACCAGAAGGGATCTCCAACCATTACTTCTACCAGAATGGGCAGAAGTCCTATCTCTTCAGCAGTACTTTGAGAACTTCTGGGCCTCAGTTGTCATGGTTTGTCCTCTTCCCTCCAACAGTAGGAGGATGTCAGAGCTTCTCAAAGCAGAAGCTGGGATGAAGAGGGGAATACTTGCCCCAGGAAATGTTGAGGACATCAGACTGTCAGAAGCAACATATTCACGGGTTGTTCAGAAACCAGAAATGCTCAGGCTGTCCTAAGTTATGGTATTTCTAGATAAAAACATTTATTATGCTAAGCTTGGTTCAATTAGCCTAGTTCTAGTTACTGGAATGAATAAACCTAGAATTCAGAGATTTTATCATTCAAAACTTCCCTAAATTAGCTCAATCTATGAACTTTTAATAAGGCATGTCAATGACCTCACAAATGAAAATGGGGAAATTTCTTCTTAGTTATATCATTTGAACTCACATTTGGACATAGTCCACAGTTCCTGAGAATTACACTGAATGGTACTCTAGAAACTTACAAGTAATATTTACAGAGAAGATATTTTCACACTCATGAAATCTGGTCAGAAATTCTTGTTGGGGAAAAAAGGGGACATTTCCAAGATAACTGCGTAATTATTACAACTATTTGTTAGTTAGATTTCTAAACACAATGCTAGACCAAACAACATTATTCATTCTAGCCAAAGAGGTTAGAAATAATTAACTGAAAAACAAATTACCCTACCATCCCTCACCCAGTTTTTCTAGCTCTTTTCTGTAATAAAGCTGGGAATAGGCCCACAGTATACAGTTCTACAAGGGTTGAGACATATTACATCTAAGTTCTTAAAAAATGAGGAAAGAGATCAGGAGGTCAAATTGCAAAACCAAAACTCAAGAAATAAAAACACAACACTGTCAATGAAAATAACTCTACAGAAATGTTCTCTTTAGCCGGGCACAAGGAGGCAGAGATCAGGAGGATCGCAGTTTGATGCCAGCTTGGGCAAATAGTTTGCAAGACCCTATCTTGAAAAAAACCAACACAAAAAAGGGCTGGTGGAGGGGCTCAAAGTGAAGGCCCAGAGCTTAAACCTGTTTCACCAAAAAAAAAAAAAGTAAGAAAAAAGAAATGTTTTCTCTAATTATACATATGGATCCTCACTAGATCTGGATATTTGGATTAGAAAGTCACCCAAGGTTTTTGCTGTTTTCATGACATGTTCATTACTATAATGTAAATAAAAAAAGTTTATAAAAAACTGAAACCAGAGCGGATGGAAGTCAAGAACTAAAGCAGAGGGAAGAAATCAACATACACTAAGTGATGACTCTGAGGCATTAATAAGCACAAATACTTTGACTTCTAAGTCAAGAGACATTACAAGTTCCTCCATACTTGTACCTTCTGGGCAGACAAAATGGAGGGTAAGCCCATCGATGTGAATGAGCATCTCCAAGAATGATGAAAGTGGCCATCATTTTGTAAGTCTTCTTTAGGAAACATCCTTCTGCTCAAATAGTGTAGTATTTGATGTTATATTTTTAACTCTTTCTTTGAATCCAGAACATTAGATTGAGCTCATGTGATTTAAAGGGTTGGAGGGCATGCTGCCCAGGGGTGATTTCATAGTCCAAAGGAAAGAGAAAATTGGAGAGTATTCAGGCTATTTGCTTAAGAATTGTAAATTCTCTTTAGCCTGGATTTTTCTGGTCTGGGTATGTGTAGTATTAACTGAAGAATAATCGTTTTCTAAATTTCCTTTGAGACTACATGGAAACCACTTAAATCCCCAAGGAGGCAAATAAAGGTGATTTTCATGTCCCTTTGAGTGGTTTATTTCATATTGTCAAATGACTTTTAAAATTATCAAATAATAGTTTCTTAGTGTAAAAAATAAATAAAGACCAGTCACAATTCCAGGTATGACTGTTGGGCAGTTTAGTATCTCTTTCAATTTTTAAAGAAATTAAAAATTGAAGTCCTGCATAACTTTTGATCTAGTGCAGATTACTCACACATGCAATTTAGTGTCTGGCACACTGAGCTACAAACGTGAGCATGTTCCAAGTGTTGTAAAACACTTTACAATTCACTTCAGGGATGTAGCATAATCTAATAAATAATTCACCTTTGTTGGACATTCAGAATGTTTCTAGGCTTTCATTTATAAGTAAGAGTTTAATGAACATTATTGGTCATATGGCTTTTTCTGAATTTCAGTTATCTGTTGAAGATATGCTTAGATGTGGGAATTCTAGGACAAAGGATATAGAAATTCCTAAAGTCTTACTACATATTGCTATCATCATTATTAACTTACAGTACATTAGTAGGATACAAGTGTTTTCCTCATGACACTTTAATAATTAATGTTCATTTTCTAATCTTAACTATATTGATGAGTGAAATGGTATCTTAAATATTTGTTTTACATTATTATTTGCAGGACTGAAAAGGCTTCATATACTGCTTACCATCTGTAATTCCTTTTACTCTACCTAATTATCTACTGAGTCTTATTATTTTTCTAAATGGTTTATATGTGCTTTTAATATATTAAGGATATTAATCCTTCGTCATATTTGTTGCAAAGTTTATGTCTTTTTAACTTTGAAGTCATTAATGCTAAAGACTTTTTCCCTCATTTCATTCAATTGCTTCTAAATTTAAAAAGGTCTTTTTCATCAAGACATATGATATCCATTTTTAAGCATTTATGCTTCACTTCATATGAACTGTTCCCTCTTAATTTCCCCAGCACTTATTTTCTCTGCCCATTGACAAAACAACTTTACATAGTCGTACTTCTAAGTTAAGATACTAGCCTCCTAGCATTACCCAATTGCCCTCTATGTCCAAACTATGGTTCTGTAATTCTGTAGCTATTCTTACAAAAGATGGACTGTACCTCCTCATCCTAGTTTTTGGCTTGATTGTGTGACATACTTTGATCAGGGACACTATGAACAGAAGTGATCCTATGTTGGTCCTCAGGTAGCCATAAGAAATACTGTGTATTTTCAAATACCCTCTTGAGCCTCTATGATTACCAGATAACTTCTTTCTTCTTTAGCCTATATGGACCCCAAAAGAAACAAAAGGAATGGAGCTGCCCCAGCTGCCCTGCAAATGTGCAGTTTTGCATAAGCATTCAACCCAGCCACTGTAACACAAAGCAGAGCTGGCCAGATGCCTTCATCTGGGTCAGCTCACCTCCCAACCAACTAACTCATAGAGGTGTCAGAGGTGGATTCTTACTGCTGATTGCCACTCTGGGGCTGTTCATTATACAATAGCTAATTTCTATACCTACTTTATATCAAAATCTTGTGGTCTGGTGGTGTAAACTCTGCCTTTATTTCATTCCTACCTGTCTAAACCATTTTGATTTGAAGGGCAAAGGTGACTGGTTTCTCTTTTTTCAAGTTTAACTTCATCAATAGTGCTGTTTTGGGTCCTATCAAATCATAGAGTGCTTCATTTGGATTCTACTGTTGCACATTTTCTTATGCTTTTTAAAATATATCTTAAAGGCAACTGGGAATACAGAATGTTTAATGTTCTGATGCCATTTGAACCAAAAGATTCATTTTTAATAATTCCAATTTAAAGCAAACACTTTTAGAGAATCAGATTGAAGGATAAATGCTTATTAAAGTAGACTGGGTCAGGAAAATTAACCATTACTACTTGACTCTTAAACTCACTGAACTTAGTTATCTCTTCAATGGACTAGGCTTATAAATGGTATATAGACTTTACTTAAGAAGTACTTAACTTTTAAAGTTTATTAAGAGGTCAGGCCTAAGCTGCTAGTTCATAAACATATAGTCACATATTTAATACTCTTTTCTATAAGTTTCCTAGCCTAAGACACTTTAAACACCACACCTTTGGATGTCAATGGTGAGGGGGTAAATTAACAAAAAAACCTCAACCATCCTCAGAGATTCAGTAACTGTGTTATGGCCACCTTAACTTGGTCTCAAGGTTCTCATCTAACCAAGGATAACTTCAAATTTACCTGGTTTAGTACATTATGTGCCCATTACATGCTTGGATCTTGCATTTGTGAAGCCTACAGTCTAACCAAAGCAACTAAAGTGATAACGTCCCTCCACGGTCTATAAGCCCATATGGAAGGGAGGGGAAGGAAGTGGGGGAGAGACTATCCCAAACAATAGAAGAAAAAACATGGGGAATAAAAATGATAGGTTTGAAAATCCACAGGGAGAGGCACAGATGGCCAAACACAAACTCATCACTTGGGATCAAAAGAAATAAAGTACTGAGGATGGAAAAAACCAAATTGTTACTTGCATTGACAAACTCTCAAGGCAGAACTTGATGTTCAGCTGAATTCAATCTAGTCTGCTCCAAACCAAAGTAAAAGACATGCAAAAATGGTTTTTAAAGAATCTTTCCTCCAAAACATATTAAGTTTGAATTTTCCTGACAATACCTTTTAAAGATTCTCTTCTTTTAAGTACATAAACACATTGAGAGAGAGAGAGAGAGAGAGAGAGAGAGAGAGAGAGCCAGAGAGTTGTATTCCAAGATTGTGCAGAAAGCAGGAAACCCAGAATTCATCTTAATCTCTCCTCACCTTCTGTTGAAATCAACCTGGATGGAATGATCGATTACAAGGTCGGCAGGACAGACAGGGTTTATCTTCTCTGGATCTCCTCCCAACTTTTTCACAGCATCACGCATTGCAGCAAAGTCGACCACAGCTGGCACACCCCTAAGGAAAGGAACAATTAAGTGAAAATTAAGTGTAAACAAGTGTGATTGGATTTTGTGGTTTCTGCCACCATTGACAATAGTGACAAGGGACCATTTCATCAGAGGAGCTAATAATGAAAAGTGAAAGTTTCTAAGCATATTTTCTTGAGCAGAAATCACGTAAGTAGTAAGTGCTATGACTGAAGGACTCTCTAGTACAATTTCACCACCATATTAAATTTTAACACAACTATGGTCATGGGAACTATTTTTCATGGGAAAGCTAGCGCATACGCTCTCTGCAAATTTTATTGCCGTGACTGCTTCTCATTTGTATGGTGGGCAGACGGGACCTGCAGAAGGCAGACCACATTCAAAGGAATGGATGTAATGCAGAAAAGTAGGCTGTAAATCACATGTATGTTAAATCAATCATTCCTTTGGGTAATCTTCCTCTAGAAAAAAGAAATTTGGCTACTGGAAGGAATAAAAATAACATCATTTAAAAATGGGAAGATTATGTCTCAGTAAAGAGGCCATGATGGGACACAAGGGTTCCTAGGAATGGTGGGATGTGAGCTGAGGTTTAACAGTTAGTATATTATCTGCCCTGGCAGGCAGCACAATAGTGTTCAAGTACAGCTGTCTGAAACCTGGTTCCCCAGGCAAAAGATGTCAGGACAGCTCTGCTTCATGCTATTTCTTTTCCCTTTCCTAGTACACTCAAGACTAGGATACTCAAGACCAAGCACAATGACCCTCACCACTGGAAAAAGTTGGGTGCCTGAGATAATCCCAGTTTCTCCTGTTGCTGGGGGCAAGATCTCCCTTCTGCTTTTGAAACCTTCTGGATATTGGGTCATAAATTATGCAGTCATTGCAAAACTTGGTTTAAAAAGCAAACTTTCTTAAAAGGCTGACAAGGGAGGCAGAGGAGAGAGAATTGACACTAGGCTCACGTGAAGTCCTGCAGGATGACGCGGGCAGGCTTAAATGGTACTTCTATGTTCTTATGTTGCATGACATTCCAATTTAGGATATTTTCAATGTCATTTTTCTTCACCAAAAACTCATCACAGTTCCGAATGGCTGCCTCTAGGAGAACTCTGATGGAAAATGGTAAGCGTCCTGGGAGTAAAAGAGAAAGCATGAGAAAACAAACTGAAACCATAACACCTTAATATAAAAGCTCTCTTTATGCAAACATGATATGAGGCATCAGATTATTCTTCCAACAGGGAAAGAAGACAAAGTGACTGACAGTTTAAGGGCAGAGTGGGCTTGAGACATATGGTAGTACAAAATCCAGACTAGGCAAAATAAAATATTAATTTATTTTTTTCATATTAAATGGTTGCATTGCTTAGGGTTCCAGTAACAGAAAGCTTTCCTTAACTCATCGCATCTTACCATCAGTGTAGACTATCATTGAATTATGCATTAGCAAGTATATAGATATTAATATATACAAAATAATATTTCTTATGAAAACTAATGCTCAAGAAGTGAGCAAACAATAGTTAACAATTGATAACAGTATAGGCATACACATCTTTCAAAGGGAAATCCTAGACACCAAGCAACATGGTCTCTGGTAACTGGAGTTTCCAGGAAAACACTATGGTAGTTCATGAGAAAATTAATTTTGTTTCTTTGCAAAATAAAAATTCCATCATGATACATGAAAATTGGACATATGAAAAAGATAGCAAAAGGTAAAATAAATCTGGGGTTTGGAATAAAAGCAACTTGTTTTCTTGCCCTCTTCTGCTGTCTCTGCATGTGTCCAGTGGCTCTCTCTGGGCCTCAGCCTCCTCACAACATCTTGTATTTTGTAATGACCAAAGAGTCATTAGTCACATAAAATCACTTGATATGTACATATAAACACTGCATATTCTATGAAGTGTTACATAAATGTTAAATGTACATAATCATTACCTACTCAAAAATGACCAGTGAGGGAAGTGTGTGTGCTTAATCCAAGAACATTTGCCCATTCTCTGCTACTCCCTCTTCTCACTCTCCTAACACATACTCAATTATATAGCAGAGGAGATTCCAGCCACTATCAGAGCAAATGCATCTCAGAGCCATGTACCTACCATATCTTGAATCCCGCAATTTATTTAAATTAAAGAACTTCTTTCCTGGCTGTGCAGGATCCAAGGGCTCAGCAAGGTGTGCAAACGGATTCTTCATGATTACTGATGATCACGTGTCCCTGAAACAGAAAGGGAACACTTAATTTTTACTTTGGAATTAACAATTATGGTACACAGTCACTTGAAGAAGTCACTGGTTATCTTCTCAAAATGGGGGTGGTTGGGACTTACATGAATACAAGAATGACATTCTTGGCAAATGAATATGGGCTTCTGTGAGGCTACTATGAAAGTCAGCATTCACCTCCCAAGACAGCATAAATCACCAAACTTGTCTTTCTTTTACAACCTCTCAACATTTTCCCACTGACTAGATGCAGTGAAAAGGGAAATGGAGGCTGCATCTCACAGAAAATCTTGAATATACAAACAGACTTCTGAGCTGGGAGTAACAGTCCATCACAGGTGACATTATACAATTGTAGAAAATCAGAACTTTGGAAGACAGGACTCAAGAGCAGCCATTTTCTGGCACTGTTTTGCGTATTTCCTATTCTGACAAACTGTGCTGCATTTTAATAAATGTGAACCCACAGTTAAAAGTTTCCCTGATTTGCTTTAGTATATGGTGGCAGCCACTGGGGAATCTTCACTCTGAGATGGCTGAAGGCCTGAACATTCCAGATGTGTTTGGGGGAGGGGTCTCTCTCCCTTAGCTTGGGGCAGGACTTCCCAGGAATCTGGTTATAAATTACAGGCAGTGAACAAGGAAAGGCACTGTTCCTGTCCCCAGTTGGTAAAGACTGCTTTCAAATAACTACAAATCAAGAGTAAAGCATCCTGGAGTGGGAGCCAAAAGACTTGCTTTCTTGGTCCTATCTATTGGTCAAAACTACTAAACGAATTCATTCTCCTATACTCTTAATTTTAAGATGAGAATAGCTAACATTTCCCTGCCAAATTCCAAGGTTTGTAAAAGTAAAACTTAGTTATTTAGCATACACATATAAGAATTGATATGGAAAGATCAATATATTACTATAAAATGATATTTTATGTACAGTCCATATATGAAAGTACTGTTTGTGAGGATGAGAAGTAACAAGTGTGTCTTCTTTTTATACACAGGCCTGTCTTCATTAAGAACACAAAAGGGCTGGGTTTTTTTAAAGAGGGGCAGGCAGGGGGCTAGAATTCAGGACTGGGAGGAAGTCTTAGTTTTTATCCTATCTCCTTCAGTATTGTTTGCATTTTTTTAACTACATACACATATAACTTTTTTAAAGGTACTTAAAAATTTAAAAGACACAGGTGTTCACACATCTCCTCTTCCAAAATCTAGTACAAGTTGAGTACTCCTTATCCAAAAATCTGAAATCCAAAATGCTCCAAAATCTGAAACATTGTGAGTGCCAGCATAATGCCCCAAGCAGAAAATTGCACACCTGACCTCACGTGATGTGTCACAGCCAAAGATGTGCTAAAGATATTACATAAAATTACCTTTAGGCTATGTGTATAAGGTGTATAAATGAAGCATAAATGGATTTCATGTTGAGACTTGGGTATCATCCTCAAGATATTTCATTATGCCCATGCAAACATTCTAGAATTCAAAATGATCCAAAATTTGAAACACTTCTAGTCCCACGCTTCAATTAAGAGTACTCAACTGTACTGGGCAGTTTTGCGGAGAAGCAGGTGGTTGAGAAACAGTCTCTGTGTTCCTGGAGTTACCAGTGCAGAAGAAACAGGACATGCCACAGGTACTTGTGACAGCCATGAGGCAACACAGAGGGCGAGCACATGAGGTTCTGTCCAACGCCTCTTTCCTTGGCATTCCTTCTCTCACCTGTTTGCAGCAGCTGCCACTTGGCAGGAGAGAGGGATAGTATCTGACCCAATATGAGCCAACTGACTTCCTTCTTAGGAATTGCAGAATGAAAACTAAATGAAGAAAGGCCAACCAGACCAGTTATGGTGGATCATCCATCATTATTTATAAAATTAAGTACCCAAGGACATCTACATTAGAATTACCTGGACATCTGTCTTGTTAAAAATATAGGTTCCTGAGTACCCCTCTGCCCCGCTTGATCCACTGACTGAGCACATCAGGGAAGGGGCAGGTGATTCTAGCACATGTTCTGTTTGAGAACCACGGCTGGATGCTATGGAAAGCCAGGAGAGGAACGTGCACTCAGTGTAAGTAACATGCCTGCCACAGGGAAAGGGAAGGGTATGTTCTAACAGGTGAATCACAGCCTGAATCGCCTCTGGGCCATGAGCAGGAGAGCTACACAAGAGAAGCAGGTTGCATAGGGAGGGTAGTTTCAGTTCTTGAGGCGAGACTGCATGTAGGACAAAGTGCCACACAAGTGCAACAGATTTGTTACCAACTACCATGAACTGACAAGCCAGCCAGGAGGGAAAAAAATTAATTTTAATATGAAACATGCTAGCTTGTCTGCAGGAGAACTTTATAAATCTGTGGTTCAGAAAATGAGACTAATAATTCCCCTGAGTGGAATTCCAAAGAAGATACAAAGGCCATATTGGTATTCTCTCTTTGATTTGTCACCGCTGCTACCAGCTCTGATTTAATGTTTCTACACCAAACAGTAGCAACTGCAACAGTAAAACTATTGTTTTGTCTGTCTGGAAAAATGGGTCAATAAAAGAGCATCTCCAGAGGGTGTGAGATGTTTTACTCTCTGGGGTGAGGGGCAGTGGTTGGAACACTTGCAGGACTGAGTCAGATGGCTCACCCACCTCTTTAGCTAGCCTTATGTTTCTGAGATCATTCCTGTTTCTGTGTCAGGTCACAAAGGGTTCAAGGGTCTGGAATCTGCCAAAAAATCAATGGTTAAACCAGCTGCTAAGTTGTACCCACATTTGCCATCATTCAGTGGGGACTGACTATAGTAATTTCCTTTCCCCACTGCTTACAGGTTCCCTGGGCATAACATTGTCCTCATATAATTCCTGCCATTCCCACTACCCTACAAAGTCAGCTAGTATCTCAGGATAGGCACAGTGACCAATGTGCTCTTACAGAGAGTGGCTTATGAAGAACTCTAGTGTCTATCTCCCTCTTTCCTTAGAAATTAGGCAAGTGTCTAGTTCTGCTACAGCCATGAAGCAAATTCTGTTGACAGAATTTAGGTGAACATCAGGCTTGGTAGTTCACACCTGAAATCCCAGCTATTTGGGAGGCGAAGATTGGGAGGATCTTGTTTCAAAGCCAGCCTAGGCAAAAAGTTAATAAGACCTCCATCTTAACAACAAAAAGCTGGGCAACTAGCCTGTGCCTGTCATCTCAGCTATGCAGGGAACATAAGTAAGAAGATTGCAGTCCAGGATGGCCAGGGCAAAAATGCTAGACCCTATCTCAAAAACAACCACAGCAAATAGGGCTGGTGGAATGGCTCAAGTGGTAGAGCACCTGCCTAGCAAGCGTTAGGCTCTGAGTTCAAACCCCAGTACTGCATATACATAAAGTCAGGAGTTAGCGGAGAAAGGAAGCAACTACTACTAAATACGTGCCAAGTGCTTTAGTGTTGTCACTAATCCTGACAACAACCCCATAGATATTCATAGATGAAAGTCTAACATTTTCCCATTTTTACATCTGTGGAAACTGAAGCTCTGAGGGACAGAAAACCTTGCCCAAATGCACAGATCTAATGAGAGTCAGAATAAGATTTTGAGCCCTGCCTACTTCTGCCGCCCTACCCGACCTGTCTAGGTACTTAAGTGACTCCTGCTCTGAAAGTGATGCTGGCTGGAGGTCACCCACCTGCCTGGATAACTGAAGACAGTCACGCAAATCCCCCACGGATTACGGCAACAGTAAAACTGTTGCTTTGTCTGACTGGCAAAATGGATCAACAGAAGAGCATCTCCAGAGGGTGTGGGATGTCTCAGACTCTCTCAGCCAGGGGAAGTGGTGGGAACTTGGTGAGAGACCCAAGGTCGAAAGCTGGGATTGTGCTGACTTTTTTCCAGTGATCCTCCAGTACGTCTTCTAAACCAGGCATTGTCACGTGGCCCCTTGCCACTCTTTACTGAGCCAGAGGTCAGCAGAAAACAACAGCAACTGTGTTAAGCAACTATAAACTGGTTTTGCTTGAAAGTTGGGCACAGCCCCTCCACGTTAAGTCTGTAGGACTCTGGCCCTCAGAGCTCATAACTGCCCTGGAAAGCCGAAAGTAACCACCTCTCCATGAGGGAAGGAAAGATCTTTGGCCCAGGAATGGGTCCAGGTCTAGAGCACAATAATGCTTTCTACATCTGCCTTTCCCTGGCCAGAAGTCCACTCATCCTTAGTCCTAAAGAATGACCACTGCCCCCAAAATGACAAAGAGGAACCTCACCAACTGGGCAGGGTGCTTCGCCTACTCACAGGAACAGAGCACAAACTGTTTCAATTGCTTTCTTATCTGCCCCCACTTCCTGCTGCTGGGCTGCTTTGTTACTGCCTCTTTTCTCTGTTTTATATAATCCTCATTCAATAGTAAAAAGAGGAATAAATCTGGAGAGTAGACCATGGATTTTTGGGAGAGACTGGAGTTATCCTGGTTTTGGAAGGGGTAGAAATTACCATACATCACAATATGTAAAGGTTGCTGCTTTTTGTTTCACAGAATGAGATGATACTGCATGGAGGCAAGTGGGAAAAAGAAGAAAAGAAAAAAAGTAAAAAGGAGAATAGAAGAAATACAGAAAGGAAAGAATGGGCAGTGATATCTTGCAAGCAGTGAAGTTGGAGCAATCATTCAGAACTTGTCCTTCCTGGGTTCTTACCATAATGCTGAGGGCTGTGAGGCTCCTGAATCAAGTAAGACAAGTGAAGAGTTCTTATACAAAAGGAATGACAAAAGGAGATACTCGCACTTCGTCTGAAACCCTTCACTGCACCTATGTTCTGAAAGTCAAGATAATCATTTGTCAAAGGCAACCCATCGTGAAATACAGCTGGGTGACTTCCAAAACATCATGATTTTCATAAGTACATTTTGTGCATCGAAAAGTGGGGCTGGAGAGTGGAGTGTCTCAACACCAGATTTTTAAAGTAAATCAGTAAAAACAGAATCAAATATTAGGCACAGGCAGCCTGCTCTAAAGTAGATATTACAAACTGAACTGTGCTCCTGGTAAACAGGTAGGGAGGTGGAGCTCAGAACTGGGCTCCCTTCTTGCTCCTAAGTTACCTCTGGCTTCAGTATAGGACCCCACTGAGATCACTTGTACATGGCACACTTTGGCCTTATAGGCAAAGGAGGCAGTGAGACTGAATCTGAAAACAGTGGACCTGAGAGATTTATGTAGCATTCCCAGTGAGGACAAAGAGGTACAGAAAACAAATGACTGTCTAGAGTCACAGGACTCATTAGTGGTAGAACCAGGAAGAAAATTTAGCTGCCTTCCCTGCCGAAGAAATGCAAATTTCCCACAGGAAAACAGTACAGTTTAAAATGCTTCATGGTAGTGTGAAAAAGCACTACCTGGGCATCTCACAGTCCTTGGATGCTTTTGTGAGGTTAGCCCTACAATCATTTGGGAAGCCTTCCACGTGCTTCAGAACTCTAGAGAACTAAATGGCAACTAAACTTTGGAAAAATAACTTATGGTTAAGCTTTTACAATCTGCACAAATAAATTTTATTAATATAAATATCAAATATGCTATTTCCTAATCAGAGTCACATAAAAAATGTGAGTAAAGACACATTAAATGGCATAAGTGACAATTTAGAAGTTGCAGAACAGTCATTCCTCAGCATGCCTGAGGAATTGGTTCTAAGACCTTCTGTCCCACACCAAAATCTGGGGACGCTCATGTCCCTTATACAAAATGGCAGAGTATTTGCATATAACCTATTCAAATCCTTCTGCTACTTTATGTTATCTCTAGATTAATTACACTATTCAACACATTAAATGCTCTGCAAATAGTAGTTATATTGAATTATTCAGGGTATGCTGATAAGAAAAAGTCTACATGTTTAGTACAGGGCTGTAATTAAAAACAAATACCTTCCATCCACAGTTGGTTGATTGTAGATGCAGAATCCACAAATACAGAGAACTGGCTGTACTAGGATCCAATTTAAGTTTTGAACTGAAAGACTTGGTATATACTCATCCATATACATTTCACCATTGTGTTTGAAAATGCATACAAAAAAGAATGATATAAAGTTAACATTATCTATAAATAGACTACATTCTATAAAGGAGGGGGCCTTTAGTTTTTCATGTTATATACCTTTGTACTTTCCAAATTCTGTTTTTGATAACTATGCACTCACTTACTACTCACTTCTTATAAGACCTAAATAATCATTTTTTACTTCATACACAGACACCTGTAACAGTTTCTCTATAAAATGAGAACTTGGAGCTGGGAATGTAGCTCAATGGTAGAGCACTTGTCTAGCTGGCCTGGCATGCATGAGGCTCTGAATCTGATCACCAGCACCAAGGGGGCAGGGAGAGAAGGAAGGAGAGGAGAGGAGAGGGACAGGAAGAGGAAAAGGGAGAGGTAGAGGGAGGAGAGGAGAGCTCATCAAGTTCCTGAAACAACAATATGCAGGTCTTTAATGTCTGATGGAAATTTATTTAGCTCTAGATAAAGCCACTATGCTTTCCAAAATGTCTTTCCTTGTCTACCAATCCCAGTGAACACCAAACTGTTGTTGAACCACACCTTCTTGGGCAGTGATAATTTTGAAAATGCTACACAACTAAATAGATGCTCATTGTAGAAACAACAGAAAATAAAGTGAATAATAAGAAACATCCTCTGTAATACTATAGTTTAGATTTTCCTTACTAAGAATTTTAAATGTACTTTTCAAAAAAAAAATTAGAGCTCATATGGTTTTGCTTTTTTCCCTCCAGTCAGCAGTAGACCACAAATATCTTAACAGGGCAAGTGTGATATTTTCACCACTTTTAAATAGACTATAAAAATCTACCAATCAGAAACAATTTACTTCAATCTTTGTTATTAAAACACTTAGCTTGTTTCCAAGTATTACCACTCAAACATCGCTGCAGCCCTAGTATACACGGCTTTAGGAGGTCCCTAATCAATTCCTATAAATAAATGCTTGGCTTTCAGTTACTAGAAGCAGGACAGCTGGGTGAAAGGCTCTGCATGTCTTTACTGTGTCAATTATCACCAGTGTACCTGGGAAAGGCTGTACCGATTTAACGAGCCTTCTCTGGAACTGCCCAGAGCAGGCAACATAATTTGTTCTTACATTTTGCCAAGTTGAGAAATTAAAAAGCCAATCTTGCCATTTCTTTAATAGCTAGTAAAGTTGAATCATTTCCTATTTGTCTGATAACTGACTTTCTTCCTCTGTAAACTGCTTGTCTGCCAGGCAGGTCAAACTGAGTGACACTAAAATGGCCTCTAGTGACCAAATGTTCTCATCTGGTCACTATAGGGACTTGACTAAAAAGTTAATGAGGATGAGATTCGGTTCTGTAACCCTGGAGAGACTGGGACTGCCCTTGCCCTCTATCTAGACTTGAGATTTCCAGTCTACAAGATTTCCCCTTATGTACATGACAGGCAGTCCTTAAATCTGTTGCACAATTTGACTCTATGTTTGCATAATCATGAACCTCATTGGTTAGAGCAAGATAAGAGGTTCAAGAGTTCAAACCAGGGGCAAAATTCTCATTTGAGCCAGTGAGCTTTGCTATGTATAACCCCAGAATGAACTTGCAAGCCCCAGAAGCAATCCTGAAAATGGGTTTTATGAGGGAGACTAAGCACAGCATATGGACAGATGCTAAAACATCACTCTTGTTAGAAAACCAGATGGACCAGCCAATAGTGATTGATTCAGTATGAGCACCAGCACCCAAGCACAGTGCCATGCTAGGACGTTTATCCATTACAGCCAGATCTGTAGAGATGTCTTAATCAGCAACTTAGATGAGCTAAATGCCAATGGTCAGAAAAGAAAAAGATTCTCTTTTCTTCTTAGAGCTCTATTCAGCTTATGGAGTATATAAATCTATGATTTTACAGTCTCTGCTATCAGAGTAGAATCCTCTTAAGGCTGCCAACCCAGAATTTTCACATCCCAGGAGGAAAGCAAGAGAGGAGTGGCTCTGGGCAGAACTCCTGTCAATAGTGGAGTAAAGATGGAGTTTGGGCTTTCTATTTTGAGGCTACAAATCCATTTTCAAAGAACTTATATGGTCAGCAAGAGCTGTCAGGTGAGCAGCTGAGATGAGAATCACTTCACTGGGCATGCAGCACATGGTACATCTGCAAGTTTTTTTTTTTTTTTACTTTAGGACATCTAAAGACACACAAGGGCAGGTTTTTCAAGTCTAGGCAGACAACAGGAAGGGTTTCTTCTGTATTTTTTGTGGTGTGTCCCCTTATTTTCCTGCTACCCTCCTAAATATACCCATCCTGAATTTCTACAGCTTCTAACTCCAAAGTCAAAGTAACATCACTGCATCTGTAAGGTTTACTTCAGTTCACTAGAAATATTAGCTATACTTTATTTTTTTTCCTGTTTAAAGAGAAATTAATTGGTCCCACTCCCAAACTGACTGCTTTGTATCTAAACACAATGATACTTATAAACAACCTTTTTTGGTCAAAAGAAAGATTCCAAGGATGTCTATGTAAGCATAAACACTGAGGTCAGAACTCTCCAAGCCAGCAAATCACCATAGCTTGTTGCAAGCAGAGCACTAGAAATTCTAGTTCTTTGCTTTATTAGATAGACAGATGGATGGATGGATGGATGGATGGATGCATATGGACCAACAAGATATCTCTGAAATTTCCCAGAGATCAGATACTTCAGCTATTGGTAAAAGGGATTTCAACAAAACAAAAACCTCTTAACTTATAACTAGATACAAGTATCACAAGAACTTTGAAGGAAAAGCCAGAAGAACAATGATCTATTTCGGGGAGAAAACAGAAAAACGAGTAAACAAACACTGGAACACAGGGATGGTCTTGGAGAAGGGAATGGGTCTATAACAGTGTGATCAAATCCTGCCACAGGTTTTTCTTGAGCACTCATCACATGTGGAGTGGTCTGCAATGCAACTCTGCCTTCTGTATCAGATAGCTTTGTAGTCACAGGGTATCTTTCTTGCTAAATTGTTAGCAGTCTATTGTCTCTCAGTCTTCTGTCCTACTCTGGATAAATGAGCAGAAAGTTCCACATATATTTCTTGGGTTTTTTTATTTTGTGGCATTGGGATTTGAGTTCAAGGTCTCATGCTTGCTAGGCAGGTGCGCTACCAATTAAGCCACTTTTCCAGCCCTTTCTAGATTTTTTGAAACTGTAATGGTTGTTAAAGTAATACAGTTTTATTTTTATTTAGCCATATAACATTTCTGTGCCTCAGTTTCCTAATGAGCAAAATAAGGTTGGTCAATGATCTAAAATAAGGTTGGTTGATGCTCTATAATGTCCTTGTAAAGAAAAAACAACTTATGATTCATTCATTCATTCATTCATTTATTCAATGTATGTTAATTGTCTAATATATGTCAAGAACTATTCTAGATCCTAGAAGACACCAGTGAACAAAGTCTCTGCAGTGATAATACAGCACTTCCACGTTAGTGGAAGGAGACAGACTAAACAAATAAATAGATATTCAAACAGAATGTGAGGCGGTGACCTTGATCACAAAAGACCTCACTGGCATGGGGCCACCTGAACAGAGCCTTGAAGGAAGCGATGGGAAAAAGCTATGAGATCTGTGGGAAGGCAGAATCCATTAAAGGCCCTGAGGTAGTGGCCTGCTGGTGAGTCAAAGGGACATCACGGTGGCCAGGCTGAGTGAGGGCTGAAGAAGGTGAGGATGCAGCGGAGGCCAAACCTTACATGGGGCTTTGTCAGCCAACACAGGAACTTTGATAAAGACAACTACAAGCTCCTGGCTGCACACCTAGTTTAAATTGTAGATTTCTAACGCTAAAATCTGATGGATTTGAAATGAATTCAGAGTATGAATATATTAGATTACAATTGAGAAGTGGCAACTTCCCGAACACTAACCTAATTGTTGTTTCTCTGAATTTCATTATTAAGCAACACTGGAAATTCTCAGGATGTGCCACAGAGATGATCATGACTCATTAGGCAGATGTGCACAGCACTGCCAAAAATAACAGCCAGGATTTGGGGGACTGGGACCACACCACAGCAAGGTGTGGCAAGGGAGCCTCTTAAAGCTCCACATTTCTGGGATCACTTTCCAAGACAAGGCAGGATCATCTGCAGCTCCCCAAGACAAAGACTTAACCCAACACATCCTTTATGCTCATTCTAAATTAGCTGCAGTAACTCAAAAGAACAGACCTACTCATTTTCTTTTTAGTATCACTGGAGCTAATAAAAGCAGTTTCACAAAAAAGTCTTGGTGAACTTCAGCATTTATAGATTCCAGAGATGGGCTGGAAAAAGCAGGCCATCACGGGGTCATGAAACACTTGGCCAGAGGAAGAAGTGGAGGGAGGGCTCCTCAGAAGGTTCCAGACCCAGCTTGACTGTATCCCTCCTCTCAAAGGTCATCTTCAGTCCCTTCTTGGAATGTGGGTCTTCTATTCTACTGCTCCCTGTGGTCACCAGTGGGGTTTAGTAAATGACATTCAGAGACCTCCAACTAAGTCCCACAGCATCTGAGTCATGTGAGGAGGACAGAAGTGGCAGGCAGCTATATATGCTGAAGCACTAAGAGCAGGACTAGTTGAGACTCATTCTTGAAGAAGGCTGCTTGATTTCCTCAAGCTCCCAAACTCATGTTGTAAATCATGGTGATTGACTTGACTTAAACTTTAGAAATTAGAAAGAACAAAAGGACATCACCACTAAAGGATGGATGTTTGCCTGCTTCAGGTCTCACGGGGCCACCTTTTGTGCATTCACCGTGTTTCTGAGGCTAAGAGAAAAAAGGTGTTCAGGGTCCAGGTCAAGAGGAAGTCCACTGGAAGGTCTGGATTTGCACTGAAGACAAAAATCCTAGGCTGCAGTCTTCAAGCCCAGACTTGATTTTTAGAGTAGAGATCTCTCTGGTAGTGGTGTGGACTGATTCGGAGCAAGGAAGTTAGATGGAAAGCAGGTTAGTGCTATCAGAACTACCAAATCAGAAAATGAGGCCGGGGCAATAATGAGGTGCAGGAGGGAAAAGATCCTGAGGTGGGGCATTATGAAAGCAGAATAGACTATGGGTAGGTGAGGAGGATAGAGAAGTCTAGGATCATAGCTGTTTCTGATTTGGGCAAATAATCAGAGCCAGTGACCAAGATGGGGACTGGGATGTTGGTTGTGGACATGGTGAATCTGGGAAGAAGATGTCTATGGTCAACTCCATATATGGGCCTAGAGCTCAGGAGGTGGGACTGGGACGAAGTCGGGAA